AAACAATAAAAAAATAATGTAAACCCCCCCCCAATTATGATACAATATGACAAATGTTATAAAACTGTTTTAAGTGCCAGAAAGGAGAAACTAAAGACAACTTTGGAGAAGTAATATTTGAGTTGGGTCTTAAAACTTAAAAAGGAGCCTTTCAGACAAAGGAGAAGCCTATAAATGCAAAGGCGCAGAGTTATATAGAATGGAGGTTTGCAGAAGCAGGAAAGAGAGTAGCAGGATGAGACAAAGTAGAATATGTGAGTTATGGCAGGCCTTGACCTTACTAGGAAGAGGAAAGACATAACCATATATGTAATTTATCACATGAACAAACACTTATTAAGTACCTACTGCCAGCCAAGAAATGTGCTCCATGCTGGAAATATAATAGATAATAAAAGAGGCAGAACCTATCTTTGGGTGGCTTACACATTTGCAGAGAGATAAGACAATAATCAAATAGAATGAAAAAAAGTTCAGGATGCTTGTGGACTGGACCAAGGAGACCTGCGGACAGAATAAGCTTCCCTAAGGAGTGGACTCCGAGCAAGGAGCTGATGGAGGTATAGGAAAAGGGGAAGACACGGGCAGAGGCCCCAATATGAGCAGAATTGAGCTTTGGAAGAAAGAAATTAAGTTTACTATAAAATGGAGGAGGGAAAATTCGTACAAGATGAGACTGGAAAGGCGGCCGCCTCATGTATCTTGGCTTTATGTTTTAAGAACTTACACCAACTGAACTGTTGACAGCAGGTGGAGCACTGGCCATAGAAGATGCAAAGAAAACCCAGCTAGGGGGCTGCTGTCCTGGTACAGGTGTCCAGGTGAGGCGGGAGCGTGGGTTGGTTGGTGGCAGAAGAGAATCGGACTAAAATGTGGACAAAAGACACAGTCAGTTAAAGACAGTTATCAGAAGTAGGAAGGAGAAGAAAGATGATGTTTTCACACCAAGTTTACTTTCTAAGAGGGATACTTAGCATAGCCATTTTCCTACAGAGTGGCTGCATTAGCGTCATCCTGCCTCCTCTCACTGGTAATAAACTGTACTACTTATGTCACTACAAGGAAGTCCAGCCCTCATCCCACTGAAGCCTCCATGAAGCAAATAAAGGCTTCTCCTTGTTTGGGGTTGTACAGTAAAATAAACCAAGACAAAGGCAAATGACAAATTGACAAAAATCATTTGTAACATATATAACATTCAAAGGTTTAATATCCTTAACAAGCTCTTACAGACCAATAAAAATGTAAACTTTAAACTAGAAATACTAATAAAAAATTGCAGTTTACAAATATGTGTATCATCAGGATGTTCGCTGCACCATGGTTTACCACAGTGAAAATAAAATGTTGCATGCAACCTAAATTTTTGAGCAATAAATCAGAGAATTAACACTTAATGGAATACTATACAGTCATTAAAAATGGTGATACGGCCCTGGCTGGTATGGCTCACTGGATTGAGTGCCAGCCTGGGAACCAAAGGGTCACTGGTTCAATTCCCAGTCAGGGCACATGCCTGGGTTGCAGGCCAGGTTCCCAGTAGGGTGGCACACGAGAGGCAACCACACATTAATGTTTCTTCTCCCTCTTTTTCTTTCCCTTCCCCTCTTTCTAGAAATAAATAAAATATTTAAAAAAAAAGGATGATGTGGACCCCGAATGGCCAAAACAATCTTGAAAAATGATAACTAAGTCAGAAGTCTCACACTTCCTAATTTCAAAACTTACTACAAAGCTATGGCAATGGAAATAGTGTGATGTTGGAATAAAAACAAACATGCAGACCAGCGGAATAGGATGGAGAACCCAGAAATAAACCCTTACTTTTATGATCAAATGATTTTCGATAAGGGAGCCAAGACCATTCAATGGCAGAAAAGACAGGCCTTTCAACAAATGATGCTGAAACAACTGGATATCCACCTATAAAAGAATGAAATTGGACCCTTGCCTTAAACCATATATAAATATTAACTCAAAATGGATCAGAGACCTAAACGTCAGAGCTAAATACATAGAACTCTTAGAAGAAAAAAACAGCATCATGACATTAGATTCAGCAATGGTTTATTGGCTATGACATCAAGACCACAGGTAACGAAAGAACAGACAAATTGGCTACATCAAGATTAAAAACATTTGTGTGTCCAAGTACACTATCAAGAGAATGAAAAGACAATCCACTGAATGAGAGAAATATTTGCAAATCATGTATCTAATAAGAGGTTAATATCCAGAAATATAAAGAACCTTTACAACTCAAAAACAAAACAACCACAAGTAACCCAATTAAAAAATGTGCAAAGGACATAAACAGACATTTCTCCAAAGATATACAAATGGCCGAGAAGAACATGAAAAGATGCTCAACATCACTCCTTACTAGGGAAATGCAAATCAAAACCACATTGAGGTATCACTTCACATCTATTAGGATGGCTATAATAAAAATAACAGAAAATAAATGTTGACAAGGTTGTGGAGAAAGTGGAACCTTCTCATGCATTGTTGGTGAGAACATAAAATGGTGGGTGCAGTTGCTGTGGAAAGCAGTCTAGCAGTTCCTCAAAAAAATTAAACAGAATTATCAAATGATCCAACAAATCCACTTCTAGATTAGGTATATACCCCAAGAATTGAAAGCAGGGACTCGGCCAGATATTTGTACACCAATGTTCATAGCAGCATTATTCAATCACAATAGTCAAAGGTGGAAACAACCTAACTACCCAACTACTTAATTGACATATGAATGGATAAAGAAAATATATATATTTTTATATGTACAGTAAATACATTACTTAATGTCAGGGATACATTCTGAGAAATGTGTCCTTAGGTGATGCTGTCATTGTGTGAAGATGATAGTGTACTTACACAAACCTAGATGGTATAGCTTACTACTGTATGTACTTTACTGTAAATACTTTACTGTTATACAACTGGCAACACAGGTTTGTTTACACCAGCATCACTATAAACAAGTGAGAACTGTGTTGTGCTAAGATGTTAGGATGGCTGCAGTATCACTAAGCAAGAGGAATTATTCAGCTCCATTATAATCTTATGGGAGCATCATCATATATGCGGGTGCACTGTTGATCAAAACGTCATTATGGCACATGACTCTATATTTATATATTAAAAATATATTTATTTACTAGTGGTTACTAAATATATATGTTAGTGGAAGAGTGATAACCAGGGACCTAGGAAAGGAGTAATGAGTAATTATCCTTTAATGGATGAAGAGTTTCAGTTTGGAATGATGAGAAAGTTCTAGGGATGGATGGTGATGATGGTTGTACATCAATATGAATGTACTTAATGCCACTAAATTATATACTTGAAAATAGTTAAAATGGTAAATTTTATGTTATCTATAGTTTACCACAGTAAAGTAAAGTTTTTTAAAATTGTGATTATGTGTTTTTAAAGGACTTTATATTATACAAGGTAGAAAAAATAGTTCATTACAAAATTGTATAGTTTGATCACTTTTTTGTTTAAAAACAAAGTTCTTGCTCACATGAGCCCAAGAGAGGCTTTGATTTCCATATTGGGGCCAGAGCTGTGTTTTCTACCTGCAAAAAAGGCTGGGAAATTAAGTATTTAGCTTTCTTCACTCGGGAGGAGAGGAATGCTATGGTTGATGGACCAGGCCACCACTACACCAGAGATGGAGGACTGGAAACCTGCTATGTTCCTTTTCCTTTTTTTATCAGTTAGAAGGTGTGACTAGCCACATCTGCTCGGTCCACAAAGAATACTACCAAGAATGCAACCTCCTGTGGCTTTTCTCAAGACTTACACTCTACTAAGCTAAAAACCAGAAAGTATCATCTAATGCAATATTGTTTGGACTAAAAATTCCTTTTATTCAAGGCTTTCTGTTTGGGTAAAATTGTCTGCCTAACTTATCAACTACGCTAGGTAAACACTTCAGATGAAGTATGCCTTCAATGGGGGGTACTTAACACAATTCCTTTCCTAAAAAGATGTTGTATTAGCATAATCTAGTTAACAGCAGTCCAGCACTGTACTCTGAGGATTAACACAGAATTGACTGCATTTGTGCCACAAAGAGTGCTATGAAATGCTGACTTAGGAAAAAATAAAAACACAACAGACCAGAAAGAACAGGGGGCTGGGAATCAGAAGAGCTGGGTCTGAGGTCAGGTGTTGCCACTTGCCACCCAAATACTCTGTCATTCCACATGTCACTTAATCTGTCTATTAGACTCTGGGCTAAGTACATGGAGGAGAAGGGAGAATGCCAAATATACAAGATAATCTGTCCTCAGTAACAAGGTTTTTTATTTGGGCAAGCCCCTTCCTCCTACAGATCTTCAGCTTCCTCCCCTATAATTCAAAGACACTACCATTTCCAAAGTGTCATCAAGAAGTAGGGGAGGATACTTCAACCTCAGTGCCCTTGACATTCTGGGCCACATAATGCTGTGCTGTGTGGGGCGGGGTGGGGGTGGGTAGGCTGTTCTGTGCATCGTAGGGTATTTCGTGGCATCCTTAGCCACTACCCACTAGATGCCGGCAGTTCCTAGGACACTGCTCACACTCCAGTTATGATAACCAAAATTGTCTATAGATATTACCAAATGTCCCCTGGGGCAAAATTCTCCCCAGTTGAGAACCTATGAAATAGAGTGGCATATGTGAAAACATCTAAAAAAGCAAAAAGCTCTAAATCAAGTCAGTACTAAAGCAGATACATTTATAAGGTTATTTCTAAAAAAAAAAAAAAAATCCTTTAAAAAATTTAGTTTCCTTAGGAATGTTTTATTTTCTATTTATATATATTTTGCCTACTGTTAAAAACCCTTCAGGGCTTTTTGGTTAATTTTCTGTACCCAAACAAAGCATCTTCATTAGAACATATTTTTTAAATGTATCACTGTACTAACATGACAGTCAGAGTCAAACATAATTGCCATCTCTACAAAGCAGACGTTTTATCCAAAATCAAAGCACTCTGTGCCTACCTTTTAAGGACAAGGGACTGGATCTTGTGAATTCTGTATTTGATGGCTTGTGCTGTTTACGAACTTCCAAGTACTCCTTAACTCTTGAATCAATGGTTTCTTTTAACAGTAAACAGACCTCCTAAAGTAAATTAAAAAATGAGAGATAACTTTCTAATTTAATGCAATGCAAAAAAAAGTCAACATAATGCACATTAAAAAGTCAACAGTGAGCATTTCATTTTGCTTGCTTTTTTAATGAGCTATGAATGCTGAAAGGAATGCTTTATGTGCTCATGGATAACACTGCAGATACAAATTTGCTACTGAGGTTTGTTGGCTCACTCTGTGATCTGAGAAAATCATTTAATTTTCTTCTGCCTTAGTTTTACATTTCTAAAAGGAAGATAAAAACACTTCAATATAAAAATAAGAGTCCCAAGATGATGAAATCAGTGAAGTATTGTGCCAGCAAGAGCCTCAGGGAAGTGGCCACTGTGGCCAGGCAGGGGACTGTGGACAAGGGAAGGAGCCAGAAGCCAGGGTATATTCAGAGGGAACCCTGACACAAACCAGTCAATGGGGGTGGTCCCCATGGGGATGGATACAAGGGACAGTGTCACCACTTCTCCCAATTTGTTTAAGAGCAACCAGAAACTGGTATTTCATACAACAATTTCCCATTTTTCAAATATGGCTCAACATACTTAAAATCCAAGCACCACCGTTTATTCATTTCTGGCCTCAGGCTTACGAATCTACTAAAAAGAAGGAACAGCATTGAGTAGTGTGTTGAATAGAGAACTAGAAATCAGTCATCTGATTTCCTTCCATGCTCTTGTTAATGATACTGTATATGCCCATTTGCTTTTGTGAAAACTGTACTATATTCACTTATTAATGGTGAAAATAATTTAAATTCTCTTATTTCTCTAAAGCAGATTAATATTTATTAAGCAACAGAAACACATGGTTTTAATTCAATGTCAACATACCATACCACTAGCAAATTTCTGGAGCTGTCTATTGTTATATATATCAGCATTATTTACAAAAAGAAAAACAAAACTTTAAAAGTACAACTACACACTAGGCAGACACTGTCCACTAGAGCTATGCTATCATATACTAAGAAAAGTGTAACTTAATGTAGAAGAAGGAAAAAAATGCACACCAATCTAAATTTCTTAGATTAAGATGTGATGCATAAGGACGGATAATTCTAGTTTAATTCCCAAAGACTCTGAAGAAGGCTCAGAGTTGACGAGGTCACCTCAAACCTGTTTCACTGGTTTCCTACAATGCCATCTCAGGTTGATCTCTTAGAATCTTTATAAATTAAAACAAGAACAAAGTTTTAAGTTGCTTCAAAGGGCAATAAGAGCCAAACTTTACTTTTATTGTAAACACCTGTACTCCTCAAACAGTACAGAAAACACTTGATTTAACTCACAAATACGAGTTTTCTTGATAAAACACAAATACTGGTCCCTTCTCTCCTGCTTTTATTTTGCAGCCCAAAGATGCAATGCCTTGTGGAATACAGAGATATCCACTTACAGTCGAGTGTTTTGGCATTGTTCACACAACAGAAAGGCAGCCTTGCCTCATACGGTTGTTTTAACAATTAAAGAATTTTGCTTCACATGCAGGGTTCAACTATGACTGAGCCTTAAAATATGTGGAAGACATACATGGAAATAGGATTGCTAAAATTTGGCCATAAATGCCCTATAAGGCTAAACCTAAAAATAGTATGACAAAAATAGAGCAAAGGCCATACATACAAACTTTCTCCCTATAGTTTACCAGCTTTCTTTCAATAAGCCAGGTTTGACGAATGGAAGGCAGGCCATGTGCAATGTACTGAATATACTCTAGTAACTGACCACAGCACATCTAACGAAGCATTCTCTTCAGAACCAGAGTAATGCAAGAAAAGGCAAATTCCCAGCTAAACTGGAGGGGCACATGAAAAGACCAAGTTAAAATCAATGTGCAAGAGAGCGCTACATTCGGAATGTCAAGGCTAACAGGGGCTCATGTTTACTTCTTCAAGTTTACAAATGGAACAGTTTGAGTTCAACTGTTTGGGTACACAGACTACTTGTGCTGGACTCAAAATAAACATGTTTAATACATGTAATTAGTTCCTTCTTCTGAAAAGAAACGGTATATTCTTAAAACTTTTACTATATAAAATGACTGTTAAAATGCAATCAAATTGATTGCTCATGAAATCTCAATCATGAGATGATCTAATGACAAAAAAATGAAAGCACTGAGACACTAGACATAGGCTGAAGTCATATACTTTCCTTGACTAGCTCCCCACCACCACACACACACAATTATCCCAGAGCAATTTTAATGTCAATGAACATATTTTAAAGGAACTTAAAGGAACTTTGCTTTGGGAGCAAAGCTTGACTTGTTGGCAAGACCTTCCCTATTGCAGCTGCCACTGCAGCAAGCTCTGCAGGTCCAATCGTGCACCTTTGCTAAGTCATGCCCTGCTGCCCGGATATAGGTCCTAGGTGGAGCAGCACAGCTGCGTGAGGCACCCTGGAAAAATCTAGCCTCATGCTTTGGCTAGGAGGTGATTCACATACTCACGGCTTTATTTTAAAGCCTTCCAAATAAATTGACTCTTGGCAAAACTGACTGAATGTTAACAAGAAAAGTCTAAGGCCGAGGCGGTAAAACTAGGAGAGAATGGAGGAAAATCTGGATTCTAAAATGCTGTCAATGTAAGCCAAGTCAGAAGATTTTTGGGTGAGGTCCCCTCAGGTGAATGAATATGTCACTTTGGGGAAATGAACTGTTTTGAATTGAATCATGAGGATTTGTGTTGGTAACCCAAAGCTTGGAATTATATGGAGGTGAGTTGTAGTAGGAAATGCTGGCCTACTAAATATTAAGTCTTGATGAGAGCAGTGTATGGTTTTTTACCTGAATGATAAATCCTGTCATGAAAAATTTTGTGTCTTCCTTCTCCCAGTTTCAGGCCACCATCTTTTGTGAAATTATGACAGCAAAGGCTTGATAATTCTATTACCTTTCGCTTGAAAATGTATTACCGTATAAATTTATTTGGGGGAGATTTTTTTCCTAGTGATTTCCAAAAGTTGATAAGGGAGGGGAATGGTGGTGGTGGTGGTCGGGGGGTGGGGGTGTGTGTGTGTGTGTGTGTGTGTGTGTGTGTGTGTGTGTGTGTGTGTGTGTGTGTGTGTGTGTGGTGTGATGGTGTCCCCTTAATGCACCACCACATTTTAATAAAACTTTCTTTTATTTCTAGCTCTAAGAAGCTATTGTGACAAATAACTATGATGGTCACGTGAAGTATGTATAATATTTTGAAAGTTATGTAAAAGCTGTTGACTGGCTCTCTATCTCTGCTCTCTAGCAAGCAACGATCTGAAGAAAGAAGCAAACCATGTGATGGGAGTTGATGCACTTTCTAACCCTCTGCCAAGGCAGTACTTGGGTGGGATAGCAGACAGCCTCTGGTGGGGCCCTTTCATTACAGATGAGGAGGCTTAGGCCCAGGGAGGTCAAACATCATGCTCCCAGTCCAACAGTTATTCACTTTATTGACTGACCATCCAACTAGTGACTGAACAAGGTAAGAGAAGGAACACTGTCAGACATCGCTGCAGTTGTTGTCACAGGCTCATGATAATAAAAGGATGGTGGAAGATAAAAGTGCACAAGACTGGGATTTCACACAGGTGTGAAAGATCAGCCTTGTGTGAGCCCCACACCTGTTCCAGGTGCTCAGTCTTTTCTTCACAACTAGCCATATTAAAATCCCTGCTCACCTGGAATAGTCACTTTAACCTCTTTTAATACAGACTACTCCTTACCCCAAACAAAGAGGCAGGGAATTTCTGGTTTAAATAATAGAGTGGCATATGAAATGTATGAATGAGTCAGTTTCAGAAGGAACAAATAAAAAGCAAGTGTATGTCTGTCACTGGGAAGACAGTATATATTTTTCAAGGGTTAAATATTAGTCAATATTTTTGCCCACTAATTAAAATGAAAGTTTGAAAAAGCTAATATTTCTTCTAGCAGTAGCTACTTGCATTTAAGTAGTGAAAATTTTTGTGGTACCTCTTTGTTCTTTTCAGAAAACCAGATGATATCTTTGTTTGAACGTTGTGGCAATACATGAAGATCCACCAGGACAGCAAAATCCCCACACTGAAAGACATTAATGGCAGAGTTAGCTCACACCCAGCAAACAATGAGAGAAAATTTCACAAATTCCTATGTGGTTGCTCATGAAATGGCAACAAAGTTTACTACTAGACAGCAATGTTCATAGGAGTCAGGGCTACAAAGCATAACATACTACTCTGCAAATTTAATATTTATGGTAGAAATGCTGGGAGAAATATCATTTAAATCAGAATAGACAAAATAAAATATCTATCTCTGGGCCATACCTTGAAGGGGGATGCCCAGGCATCCAGAGGCAGTTGGAAGATTATCAAACACCAGAGAAGTAAAATAGGTCAGAACTAGATAGACTCCAGGAAAGTGGACAGCCAGGGGAATTCTTTCTTCTAGGTAGGAGAGAACAAATATGTAAGCTACTGGATTTGTAGACAGGCAGAAAGATTGGTTGGGACAACACATCTTGCGATAGGAACAGAAACATGGACAAATGAGAAGATCCAAGGGGAGGAGGGCAGATGCTGAATGACAGTTATCAAAACTACACAAGTTTCATTCATTAAGATATACTACAAAACTACACAAGGCCTGCCTTCTTTTTTTGTTCTATAGGCTAGTGATGTCTAGGACTTTTGAAAAAATGGAAATACCATATATATGTATCAGTTAACAGGGTAGCCAATAGCCACACGTGGCCACTGAGTACTTGAAATGTGGTGATTGCAACCCAGAAGCTGAATTTAAAAATTTTATTTAGTTACAATTTAAACAGCCGCACATGGCTAGCAGCTCTTCGGTAGAGCTACAGACCCTGTAAAAAGCTATAGCCTTATAAATCCTCAACCTATGAGTGAAGTAATTTCTGAGACCCTTTGGATAACTGTGAAAGACCTAATTTAGAAAAGACTAGAAGACCAAGACTAAAGGTTAAGGGTTGTCTAAGAGGCCCTAAGATTCTGTTTATGGTGCATAAGAGATGATCACTTGTGTACCTCTTTGGCTGAACAATTTTTTTTCTATTTTGAATTCTGGGCTATAATTCAATGGTGAAAAGGTATTTTCGACTAATGGTGTGAGAATACCATCTATAAATATGGAAAGAAAATAAAACTTGACACCTAGCTCAAGCCATACACAAAAATTATTTTGAGATGGATCACTGACCCACACATAAATACCAAACTATCTTCCTGACTTTGGAGTAGGAAAAGATTTCTTAGATAGAACCCCAACCCAGAAAGCACTAAATATACGAAAAGAATGGTTCAGTTGGACTATGTCCAAATTTAAAATGTTTGGTAATCAAAAGACACCGTTAACAAAATGAATGTGTATATCAGAGTGGGAGAAAATATTCATAAATGCATATATCTGACATAAAGGATAGGCATCATATTTTGGACACAAATAGATATAAAAAAACAAACAGCACAAACTTGAACAGACACTTCACAAATAATATAAACAAACAGCTAATAAACACATGAAAAAAGTGTTGAACATCAGTCATCAGACAAATGCACATTACCTCCAAGAGATACAACTACATACCTACCAGAGTGACTACAATTAAAAAGCCTGACACACCAAATATTGGTAATGATATGAAGCAATCTAAACTCTCACCCAGTGCTAGTGAAAGTGTAAAATGGTCAACCACTCTGGCAAATGGTTGGTCAGTTTCCTATAAACATACATTTATTTACTGACTGAGCCAGCAAGTACATCTCATGTATTCACCGAGAAAAATAAAACACGCGTTCATAAAAAAACGTGGAAGCAAATGCTCACATAAGTTTTATTCATAGCAGCCCACATGGAAGACAACTCAAGTCTATTTACAGGAGTGTACTCATTCAATGGATATATTCATTCGTTCAACTAGACTACGATGCTCAACATGGACTAATCTCTAAAACATTCTGTTAAGCAAATGAGGGCAAGCTAAAATAATACAGTGTATGTGTCCATTTACATAAAGTTCTAGAACAGCAAAATTAATCTATGGTCAAAGCAATCAGAACAGTGATTGCCGTAAAATACACATAATAAAATATATTAAAAAAAAAAGATGCAGTGATGGCTTAGGTAGGAACTGACTGAGAACAGGCACAACAGAACTTTGTGTAGTGATGGGAATGTTCAATGCCTTGATAGGGTAAGTGCCTAAGATCAGTTTCTTTCCTTTTATAGGAATAATATATCAATAATAAATAATTTTTAAATGCTGAGTAAAAAATGTTCACATTTGTTAACAGTTATTTAAAATGTAAGTATTATGTCCCTAAAAATGTGTGGGTATTTTGGGGAAGACCAAAGTGAAGTTCACTGGGTAATAAATCATGAGATATAATGCAAGATGATCTCCCCTGATGTTAAACAGTGCAGTGTGGCTTACTGAACTGCAGCTGAAGTTTAGTGTGTCACAACAAGCATTTTATTTTAATGAAACAGAATTGAAGAGAGTATTGAAATGGGATTAAAAAATATCAATGGATGAAATGGTAAAGTTAAGTATTGTTTTGTGAAACTTCTGTGAGTGTACTGAGTTATGATGTAAAGCCTGTTTCTTACTGTGGGTTGTGGTCAAAACTCTTTGAAAACCATACTCAAATATACTGTTATTTAAAATTTTTCTTCACAACTGTTGATTATAGAGTTAACCTTTAAGGAGTATGCTGCCACCAGGTGGAGGTCTTTTGCCACAACTACCTGATTTTAGCCAGGGGTTATTAACCTTTCATGCACCATGGATCTCTTTGGCCAGCTGTGAAGCTGATAAAATTTGCTCAGAGTAATGTTTTTAAATGCATGAAACACAATGAATAGTATTCAAAAGAAAACCAATTTTGCTAAAGTGTGGTTGTCCAAATTTAAAAATAAACAAATGTGTGATATAATGATGTATGGACTTGTTTAAGGCATTGGCTCTTGTCACATAGTGAGTGGTAGGTAGATCTAATAACTACGATAAATCCAAAGTAGTGGTAAACATAAATAACATATTCAGATATGTGCCACAACTATAATATAATATGAAAAAAGATATGATTTCTAATGGCGACAAATGTTGCTAATACTATTGTGTTCTGAATACTTCATTCATAATAAAAAATACATTTATTAGAACTTGGTCAAAATAAAGATGTTAATTTTTTTCTCCACCCAAGTTTACCAACCCTGTGATTTCTATCACAGGCCTGTTGAGGCTCTATGGTTTGTAGAACAAGAGCCCCACCAAAGCAGTGAGGTGTGCCTCATAAACTGCTAGTGGATGTAAAGTGTAATATAACATGTAGCAACCCTGATGCCTCAGTCAAACCAAGTTCTTTGCTATTCTTTCTTCATTACCAAAAAAAAAAAAAAAAAAAAAAGTGATGCTTCAACAATCTAACCTGACACTATGTAATAGTAACCTTCTAAAGAATTAAATAGCAAGGTCCAATTTGGTATTTTCTCATCATTTTGTAACTTTGATCCCAAACAACCCAGTATTAGTTTGATCATAAATGGGATAATTAGAATGTCTTTTTAATTTTTTAAAATAAATCGTGAAGTCTTACTCCGTGCTCAAACCCTCCCAGGATTTCTACCAGACTCACCCGTTGGCATGTATGCGGTCCCATCCCCCACAGCAGGGCTCTCCCTCTGTAGCCAGCAGTGCCAGAGGTCTCCAACAAGAGCTCTCTGAAACTCCCACACTAATCAGAGATATTTTGCCTTTCTAAAGTTCCTACTTTCAAAGCTTTGCTCCTTTTCTCCCAGGAATAAAGAGACATTTAAAAAAAAATTAAAAAAGAAAAGCCTCCCACTGCTACCAGCACCATAGCCTCTCCTTCTCCTCCTTAATTAAGCAGAGGTTATTTCTACTCTCAGTAGATAAACTCTCCAGCTCTCTTCTGAGAGGAGCAACACACTAGCCATCACTTATTTCTTAGGCCACAGGAACTCACTTTACACAAGCCCAATTACCTCTTTAACAGGCCAAAGGCTACTAGAAAAATCTGCACATCCTATGCCCTGTGTTGTGAAGCAGTAGGTAGGCCAGGGTCTGGTTCTAGCTCCCTCCACCCAGGGGTTTTGGCTAAAAACCTGGAACCCAACCCTACCTCCTCTCTTTCCCTAACCCTGCACAATCAGTCACCAAGTCTCCTGGATTTTACTTCTTAAAGAACTAAACACACTCCCCTTCTCTTGTTCTGTGTCATCTCTCACTTGGAATACTAGGGCTACTTCTCTGTGTCCCACATGAACTCTCAATGCCCCTACCTGCGCAATCTCAAATATTAAATGAGAGCAATGTGCTCCTTCTGCAGCTTTAACACACAAGCCCCTCAATGCTCCTGTGCCTAGTGAATTCCTAGGCATCTTTGAACCCTACCAGGAGTGTGGACATCTCCAGGAGCTTTTCTGAACAGCTCTTATCTCCCTTCTCTGGTTTAGGCATATATTCATGTACTTATTTCCGTATTTAATGGCCGATCCACGTAGGGGCTTCCCCTACTACACTGTTAGCTTCTTGGTGGAGACGAGGTCCATACCTCAGTAGACTCTGCACCCTGGGATTAGCACAACATAAGCTCACAGTAAGTGCTTAATATTTAATGAAAGAAATAAAGATATGAATGAACAACTGAAGGACAAATGAGCTCTGAAATTTGGGCAAACCACAGCCTTATCTGCAAACTGAGGGCTCTGAGTTCATTCTGGCAACAAAGCCATCTGATTCAGCCCAGGACACTGATGTATCAAAGAACAACTTCCTTACTCCTTACTCTGGAGTGGCAACAACTATGTCATCACCACAACCAGTCATTTTCCATATTAAAAAAAAAAAAGGAATATGAGGATCCTAGGATTACCTCATCCTAAATTACTGCCAGCCAAGCTTTTTGGTGATTTTTCCTACCTCTTTCCTAAGAATTTCAAAGCTGCAACTTAGATTGAACTATTTCCAATTCTCCAGAGGTGGTATCTTGTCTTCCAATTTTACATTAGGTTATAAGATAAAGGTAAAATGCAAA